CATCTCCTAGACTCAACGGGTTTGCTCGGTAACAGAAAAGGTTGGGGGACCATGACCCAACTCGCCGAGTTGTATGAACAACTCATCGAGTCCCCCATAGTCTAAACCCATTCAGTCGTTTCCAGTCGAGTTAAATGCTTCCAAACCATAGGTCTGGTCCCCTAGGAATAAGTTACCATGTAAAGTTGCTAACTTTACGTTCATGCATGGTGTCATGAAGCTAAAAACACCAAAACTAAGCTATATAAGAGATCTAGGGCATGGGGAAAGGCCAAGGCTTGATAAAGCTGGCAACTTTAAGCCTCCTAAGCTCATGAGTGCCTAGATCTGAACTCAAAACCTCATGATGCACTCAAATCCCGAAAATGACTGCAATATGGCCCAAAAGTAATAAAATACAACCCTAAATGAAGATCTAAGCAATGGAAAGCCAAGGTATAAACTTTATACATTCAATGAGTCAGAAATGCAGCTCAACTTCTGGATCTACTGGCTTCCTCTTGAATCCTCAAGCTTCTACTGCCTTCTCAAGCTTCAAAATCACAAAGAACACACAACAATGGTTCAAGAACACTCAAAAGTGGATTAGGGTTTCGTAGCTAGGGTTTGGGGTGATGGAGGCTGCAAATGAGGCCACCCTTTGGAGGTTAAGGTGCTTAAATAGGGTACAAAACCTTGAAATTAGGGTTTCACTCTGGCAGCCCTACTCGTCGAGTTGAGGCTCTCAACTCGTCGAGTAGACTTCAAGTCTCGCGTCCAAATTCCATTCCTACTCGACGAGTTTGGGGCCTCCAACTCGTCGAGTCCCTTTGCAAAAATGAATAATTCGATTTTAAATACATACCAGGATCCGAGCATTACAGATTGTTACTTAATCTGTTATGATAGTTTGTTAGAATTAGTTAGTTGTTGCTTTCTCTTTTCTGTATATTTTGTTTCTTTTGTGTATTATTTCATTAATCAATGAAAGAACAATTTCCATTCCATTTCGTTCTCTCTATAAATCAAGATGGTATCACAACTGTAATCTCAAGTTTTCTCAAGTTGTTCTTCGTTTCTTCAATAAATTATTTTCTCCTTTTAAGTTTGTTCTATCAATGGCTATTCCGATTAATCAAACGAATCCATCTGGTTCGACTAATCATTCTGATGCTTTTTACCTTCATCCACCTGATTATCCTAGAATATTGCTTTTTTCTAAACATTTTGATGGATCGAACTACAACTCCTAGAGCAAATCCATGGACATTTGATTTATCAACCAATAACACATTAGGTTTCATCAATGGGAAGATTACGAAACCTGATGAAAATGATCAAAATCTCAATTTATGGAAAAGGTGTAATGATATGGTTACATCTTGGATTCTTAATGTTCTATCCAATGATATTGTTGAATCTGTCGTCTATTCCTCCTCGTCTCATGAAATTCGGACTAATCTAGATGATCATTTTGGAAGATCAAATGGAGCCAAATTATGTCAATTGTAGAAAGAGATCTCAGCTTTGTCTCAAGGAGCTAATTATCTTGCTTCATATTACACTAAGCTCAAGAATTATGGGTTGAAATAGTTGCATTATCCTCAATTCCTGAATGTACATAGGGAGCAACTCACAAAATAATAGAACTCGAGCAAACTAAATGTTTACTAAATTTCTTATGGGCTTAAACATTGATTACACAAGTACACAGGGTAATATACTCATGATGAAACTCCTTCCAGCTATACTATAAGCTTATGCTCTTCTTATTCAAGATGAGAAGCAACATGAAGTTTAATATGCTTCTACTTTTCTATATGAATTTGCATCCATGAAAGTTAATGCTAGGAATGGAGGAATTTATTCAAAGTCCAATTATAATAACATTATGAGCATCATTTGTGCTCATTACAAGAAACCAGGACACACAATTAATAAGTGTTATCGTATTGTGGAGTTCCCAAAGGATTTCAAATTCACAAAGACCGAAAATGTTTTTGCTAGTGGTACTTGTACTAAAAGTGATTATTATTTTTAACATGTTGATCAATCTCTTTTAGAATTAATCAATAATCAATATCAACAATTGAATAGACAATATCAACAACTCATGAACATGATGAATTCTATCAAAGGAGGAAGTATTTCAATAGATAATAATAAAAACTCTTCTTCATCAGATGTTAGCAAAAATATTTGTAATTCTTCCAATACAAACTTTCCTGGTAATTATTTTTCCTCTACAAACCTCCTCATAACTGTCATTATCACATTACTTCCAAATCTACTTCGATAACTGATTTTGGTTCTAGTAATCATATGTGTCATAACAAAACAAATTTGTTTCATATAAGAAAGCTTGATCAACCACACTCCATAACACTTCAAAATCGCCAACAAACCTATGAATATGAAGTTGGAAACACATTTCTAATTGATGGTGTTGTTCCTAGGAATGTGTTATATGTTCCTCTCTTCCATTATAACTTGTTTTTAATTGGAAGACTCAACAAACAGTTGCAAACCTTTGTTGTTTTCTCTAAAGAATTGTGTTTCCTTATGCAGGCCTCTTCTATGAAGAGGCCTCTGGTTCTTGGTAGACATCAAGTTGGTTTATATATTTTTCATTCCAAATATCAAGGATTCAAAGATACAACGTTGTCTGTTTCACCTCATAAACCTTCAAATCTATATGTTTTCTTTGTCAATAGTATGTGTAATATTGTTTGAAATGATAATCTTGTTTCATTATGGCATAAAAAACATGGCCATTTACCTTTGTATAAACTCAAAACTTTTAAGTTCATGAATAACATCTTTAATGATGAATTTTTCCAAATTCTAGACAACATAAGCTTCCATTCAAAAAGAGTTCAATTAATATATCATCTCCTTTTGATTTGGTTTATATTAACACATGGGTTCCATATAACACAAAACATATGTTGGCCAATCTTATTTTTTTTACTTTGGTTGATGATTACTCAAGATCAACTTGGACTCATCTTTTACATACCAAAAGTAATTATTTTCAAGTTCTTAAAGGATTAATAGTTATGGTTAAATATCAGTTCAATAAGAAAGTGAAAGTGATAAGGCCTGATAATGCACTGGAGCTTGGATCCACTAAAGAGGCATCATTATTCTTGCAAGATAAAGGCATTATTCATCAGAACACATGCAAAGGTTGTCCTCAACAAAAATGGTGTGGTAGAAAGGAAGAATAAACACTTGTTAGAATTAGCAGCATTAATGTTTCAATCCAGTTTACCTATCAAATTCTAGAGTGATTGTGTACTTATAAGTACTTATCTCATAAATCTTTTTCCATCAAAACTTCTCAAAGGAAAAATCCTTTCTCTATTCTATATGTTTGGGTTTTGCTAACACTTTGAAAGAATACAGGGACAAATTCAAACCTAAAGCTGTTCCTTGTATATTTGTAGGATATCCTTTTGGGAAGAAGGCCGACAAACTTTATGTTTTTCATCCTCAAAAGATTACCATTTCCAGAGATGTTAATTTCCATGATAATATTTTTCCATATTAGTCATCACATACGAGTTCATAGTATATTTCCACTTTTGTTTCTAAACAAGAATAATATGATTTCTTTGATTACAACCTTCCAATTACATAATCCAATGATCATTCTGCTTCATATCCAATTAATTCACATTCTCCACAAAAGACTCCTCCATAGCTTAAACTTCTTTTGTTCTTGGAAGATCTATAAGAGTTCATTAGCCTCCTGCTAAACTTCAAGATTATATATGTGGCAATGCTATGGAATATTTAATTATATTATTACAAATATTTCTTCTTCTATATGTGGCAAAGCTATGGAATCTTTAATTATATTATTACAAATATTTCTTCTTCTATATATTTGTGTTTTACTTATCTTAATGAGGAAAGTAGGACTTTAATCAAAATATTCAAGTTCTCTTTGAACCTTCAAGCTATGAAGAGATTGTTCAATTCTCATAACAGAGAAAGGCCATGAGCAAGGAATTTGATGCTTTAAAAGCTAGCAACACCTAGATTGTATCTAATCTTACTAAAGGAAAAAGCCAATCAATTCCAAAAGGGTTTATAAGATTAAATATCGGTCAAATGGGGGAATATAATGTTTTAAAATATAATAAGGAATCAAAATTAAAACTTATAAAATGCCAATAATTTAATTTTAAAATTAGTGTTAGATCAAAAAATTTTAAAAATAAAAAATATAAATATAAAAATTTGCTAGTAGCAAAATCATTATTTTCAAAAAGATTTTAATTTGAATTTTGTATTATATGTTAGAGAAGTTATAATATGTGATGAATTTTATCAATTTTTAATATGACAAAAATAAAACCAAATTAACAGTAACCCTTCTTTGCAAACTTTATTTGCTAATTAATATATGAATAATTTTTTATATGTTTATTAATTTGGTTTTATTTATTTAGTAATTTAATTTTTTAAGTTATTGTAACATAAAAAATTTACAAAAAATTCTAATAAGTTAAAAATATATTTTTGAAATTTTAAATAATTTAGAAAAAAATTTACACAAAGTTCTAAAAAAGAATATTCTTGGAATATTTTTTGATATAAAAATTTAATAAGAAAATAGAATCATCAGAAATAAATTCAGTATTACTAGTACTATTTTAACTCTAAGAATAAAATAAAAAATAAAGTATATAAATGGAGATGGTCTAATCACACTAATCACCCATCACCAATCACCAATCAACAATCACTAATCACTAAAAAAGCCCAAGTTCATGTCTGTTTGTGCAAAGATATCGAAGAACTTAAGCACTGTGTTAAAACTTCAAGTCCAGAACTAAAAACTAATAAACATCAAATTATTAATTAATTAATGAGTCGATTATTAGAATTCTGAAAAATTGTTTACAAACAAGAACAATCCTACAATAGATCTAGTGCTACCCGATGTTGAAATTTCCCAAATCTACCAAATTTTCATATTTACATCTTTTTCCGATAATCAACCTCCATCTTTAGCAGTGCCATGACACTACAACGTCTTCAAAACCCACCTTGAATTCCTCCCATTCAACCTCACTAAACCCACCTCCGCCGCCAACCACCGTCATCTCCACCAGCAACAAATCCACCGCCACCTCCAACACCTTCGCCAACACCACCACCCTACCTTTCACCAACCCCATCACATCCCTGTTCCTATTCTCTTTGTCTTTCATTTTCTTCGATCTGTACCCCAATCTCTCACCCACTTCCACCACCCGCCTCTCAATCTCCGCCGCCGTTGCCGTCGTCGTGAATCTCCTATCCTTCCGTACGATTTTCTCTTCGAAAATACCTGATAAATCAAGCCCTGACGACATCGAGATTATATCAAACGCATTCATTGTCGTCTTGTGTTTAATCGAACTCAAATCATCTTCTCCGGTTGCTTCGGTTTCTGTTTCGTTGTGGAGTTCGAGAGTAGGATCGGGTCTCAGTGATTTTTTGAACCATGAGAGGTTCATTAACGTCTCGATGCTCATCCTGGTTTTCGGATTCGGATCTAGGAGCTTTTGAATAATGATCCTCGGTTGTTTTGGCATCCAATCGGGAAATGCGAATTCACGTAGGTGAATTTTCCGGTACATGTTTGCTAAATTACTGTCGTCGAAAGGAAGATAACCTGCTAAGAAGATGAAAAGTATAATTCCACATGACCACGCGTCCGCCTTTGCTCCGTCGTAGCCTTTCCGGCGAACGATTTCTGGTGCAGTGTACGCTGGAGTTCCACACGCAGTGTGGAGGAGCCCGTCCTTTTGTGACTCAGGCAACGCCGAGAGTCCGAAATCAGAGATTTTCAGGTTCCCATCTTCGTCTAACAAAAGGTTTTGGGGTTTTAGATCGCGATGAGCGACTCCGTTTTGATGACAAAAATTGAGCGTCGATACGATCTGTTGAAAGTACCTCCGTGCAGTTGCTTCCTTCATCCGTCCACGGCGGGACAACTGTGTGAAAAGCTCACCACCATAGGCGAGTTCCATAACGAGATAGATCTTGGTTTTCGTCGCCAACACTTCATGGAGTTTGAGAATGTTGGGATGGTTCAACCGCCGCATGGCGGCGACTTCACGAACCAGCCGTGGCTCCATCGTCGGATCTGCGATGGAGGGTTTCTCAATAACTTTCACCGCGACGGAGGAATCGTCGATGAGAGAACGGCCATGGTAGACTTTAGCGAAACTACCACGACCTAAAAGGCGAGTGAGTTGGTATTTGTTGAGTATGATCGTGCCGCCGTCGCTGGATGTTCTGTTGATGCTGGTGGCTGGTGAAGGTGGCGCCATGGCCGGAACGAACAACCGAACGGCCGGCGAGAAATGTAGAGAGAGAAAGAGAGAAAGGGGAAAGTGATTTGGTGGTGGAAGGTGCGGTTGTTTATCATGGTTTTATAGGAAAGGGAAAAAAGATACCAGTTGGGTTTTCGCTGTCTTCATTCGTGTTTTTAGCCTCGATGAGCGTTTGCTTTGATATTTTCATGTCTTAAATTACGATTTTGCCCTTCTGGCGGATGCTTCATGTGGCCACTCCCCTAAATTTTTCTTTCACATTTACTCTTCCTTTCTCAAAATAAACGTAACTTTATTAAAAAGATATTTTTTCTTGGGTTTTCAAATGATTTACATAACCTAAATAGCTAAAATACAAATAATTAGATTTAAACTTATATCGTAACCGTTCATATTCATATCAATATTTTTTGAGATAAAAAAGGATTACAAGTCGGAGAAAATTATGATATATTAGAAGATGTGGTTCCATTTTGGAGTTATCTTGAAAGATATGATATTTTTTACAGAGTTTAATTTGAATTAAGTTTTGATGTTACCATATATGACCTTGACGATGGTTATACGGAGGACTATTCTATTGATTCTCGAACTTTTGGTTATCAAAACACTAATGCATTCTTAATGTTATATTTCGTAGATTCACAGATTTTTTAAAAGAATTAGTTTTGCTAACCAGAAAGGACTAGCGGCGTAGCTTGTTACTGGTTTGCCTTTCGTCGATATGTATTTGGATTTTTTAAAAGAATTAGTTTTGCTAACCAGAAAGACCATATATGCCTATATTTTGGATTGTCATCAACAATTCTAAAAAAAATCTAGGCTGGTGCGTAAGTATATGTTGTTTGTTTCAGGAGTAAAACTTAGTATTTGGTCTTTGCAAGACCGATTTCTATAGGAATTATCGCCTCTTAACTACTCAGCAAACTAAATGGTATCCTCTTTGTTGCGGTTCCTGTTTTAGTTATGTATTCGGATTCCTAATATGCTTTATAGTTCATCTACATATCTTCATTTATCCTTCCCAATCTCACCATTATTTCTTTAATGATAGTGTAGTTTTGTAACCTTTGTTTACCTATTTTGTTGTAGGTGAGAAACAAATGTAAAGTTTTGCTTTATAATCAATCGGGCACACCATCCTTTAAACAGGTTATCATGAAATTGTTTTCTATTGTCACTTATAATTATGTGTGGTATCTCGAATCGACATATAACTTGTTTCCACATGAATTTACTATGTTATTTCAAGTGATCGTTGTCATTGGTGTTGGCACTACCCATTTGGTGAAGTAATATATTAATACTAATATGAACTTGACCTTTTGTGACGCCTATAGAAATGGTCCAACTATATCTATCCCCTACAAGCAAAAAGGACATGGGCCATAAATGATTTCCATCTTTACAATGGAAAGGTTAGTATGTTTGCATTTTACTAACATGCCAAGCATCGTCTGATAAAAGTATGGGTACCCTAATATAAGGTATGACATAAGTATCTGGTCCTAGCATCTTTTGCGTAGTTGTTTGGGCCCTGGAATATGCTTCCTAAATCCTGGTATTTGATTTTCAATAAAGTATTATGCCTTTATTGGTGCTAATTACCACAACCATGGAGTTGAATAACCTATTTTGTATAATGCCCCCCACTATATAATTTACTTGGGAGCATTGATGTACTTCTGTTACTTTATTTTTTTCGCTCAATAATGTCCCAAACTGTAAGTATTAGAGGGATGGTATCATTCAATTTGGTGAAATGTTTGTTATATGTTGGGATTAACATGCAATGAAAAAAGAAATGTAGTTTCGATGTCGTTCGTATGTAAATCTATGGGGTCATATACTTAAGTGCATAAGAAAGAACATATAAATACTAAACAATCGTAAAATATAAATTTTATTACTAATATTGGCTTAAATAAATAAAAATAGAAGATTTTACTTATCATTTATTTATCAAGTGCATCATAAAAAAAATAAATGGCTATTTATTTATTAATTGGATAAAATATTTATTAATTAATTAAATGGTATATTAATTATGAGTTAACTAGAGAAGGTCCCCGCATTGCGGGGGTTGGAAGTCTTCAATATTTTTGATGTGTTATCTATCCCTTTTTTGAGTATAGTCAAATGGTGTTATGGAATATGGACTGTGTTTGGAGAGCATACATGAAACAATAAAAATAGAAATGATAAATTTCTCAAATTTATGAACTCAAGTTCATATAAAAAGAGAAGTAAAGTCTATAAAATGAAAAGAGATTGAAAATTATAAGGCATTGTTTATTTCCCCGCACAAATAGTTAAGAAAGAAATATTATTAGTTTACAAAAAAAAAAAAAAACAGTAATGAATAAAACCAAGTCTTCATCTAACGCCAAATGGTTGATCTTTTTGAGTGATATTCTTGATCTTTCAATCATGACAGTTAAACGTCCAGGAGTCGTGATTAAGATGTTTACACCCCACTCGAACGAACATAAGCATCACCAAAATCGAAGAACAATAAGACCAATCAGATTGATGTATTGGGAATGGAACACAAAAATGAAGAAATTAATTAATTCTATGTTCTAATACATACCTGCTGTTGAACCGGCGCACCTCGATAAGCAACAGTAACTTCACACCAATTTGATGGGTCTAAATGCTATTACATGTAAAAGCATTTAGGAAAGATTCAATAGAGTATGTTTTTTTTTTGTAGAATCGGCTAAATCTAAGAGATGGAACCTAAATTTGTTAGTTTATCTTCACATCCAACGAGTGGAAGAAGGAGACTAAGAAGAAACAAATATTTTAGAGGCATAGCACAATGGTTCCAACTTTTCATGGGCATTTTGGGCATTCTCTTTCCCTTCATCATCATAAAAGGGTACACAAGTTTTCTTCATTCTAAAGAAGAAGTTGCATTAATCTTAACTCACACCCTTGATGTTACTATCGATCCTGACCACCTACACTCCTAACAAATCCACTCGAATTGCTTGCAATTAAGACCATTATGGAATACTTCCAACAATGAAAAGCAAAACCTGTTATATGTTTGTAATAATTTGGGGATATCAATATTTTATACCAAATATATCGATATTCATTAGTTAGGAACTATTTTTCTTTTGAAATGACACAATTTTCATAAAATTCAGTAAATTGGGACCATTTTCATGAAGCTATGATAAACCATTTGTAAATAAACTCCATAAATACTCTTGTTGAAGTAACAGAAATTTCTGGTTTTGTGAAATTGGACATTATTTACTAAATTTTTTTAAAAAGCGTGCCTATTAAATTTCAATATACATATAAAAATGAAATCATATTATGCACCTTCTGTTGGTTGAAAATTAGAGTGTATGAGAAATTGTAAAATCGATTCCAGTAACATCCATCTGCAAAACCCACAAAAGATACGATGATCTAAAAACGAAATTTTCTTCAATAATCTAAAAGATTTTCAGGAAGTCACTGAAAATGACTTAAAGACATCATATTTGCCGATTTAGATAACCAAATACATGATTAATGAACAAAGTACATGATTAATGGTTTACCTATGGAATTTAGTTACATACCTTAAGTAATCATCACCAACACCTGCAACTATGATAGCTTTTCCATCATTAGCTTTAGAACAAAATTCATACAGATCATTAAAGAATTGTGCTTCATTGATTCCAATAACATCAACCTAAAAAACGCACAAAAGATATGATGACCTACAAAAGAAATTTTCTTTAATGATGTAAAAGATTTTCAGGAACACACCTATTCATAATGAACGTATGTTACAACTGAATTAATGGCCTATCGGTTATCCTTCCCTGAATTTATCATCGCTATGTCGGACGACCTCCACCTGTTTCAAAAGAACAGGTACAAAAGAAACTGATGTCAAACAAACTAATCATATATAAGAGTAATAAATCCATGAAGTAGCATGGAGAAAATTGTAAGCAATCAAGTCTGGTTCCAGGTATGTGTATCAGAGTGTGTGCCGACCCTCTGCTTTATCCATTCCTCAATAACCATTGATTTCTTTTGATTTCGTTTTATATGAATACTGAACCATAACCTAGCAAAAGATTCAACATTTAATCAACTTGACTTTCCATTCAATCTTTTGATGTTCACATTTGCTCAGTTCAAGCTTCCTGATAACTACCAAGATACAGAAGAATATAAAGGCATGAATATAAGATTCCATGTTGTCCTTGAATAAGATAATCAAGTTAGTTTCTATATCGAAGGATATAATGTTTGAAGGCATTATTCCAAATTATACATACAGGATCATCAGATCTGACAACACTCCTTGTGAATTCACCATTGCCAATTTTCCTATGATGAATCTGAATAATCTTGTGACTCTTACAAAGATCATGTGAGATCTTGATAATGATCAGATTCAAGACAAAGTAACATACATCATTGGTTATGGTCATATCAAGAATTTCATAGATTGTTATTTTTCCTATTTGGGATTAACAGACTTCAAGTTTGCTACGACCTACAAGAAGAAACCAAAGAATACAAACTAATAATTGAGGGAAGATTTAGATATAAATGATTATGAAGTCAGTGAAATCTTGATGAAACTCAAAAGAGTGGTGTTTCAAGGAAAGAATATGAAGGGAGGAAAGAAGAAGTATTTCTTTCGTACCGACTTCAAGAGATGTACACTACAATGAATCTTACCAACATTGTTCTCATAATTAACAAGTGAAAGAAGAACTCTAATGAAGATTGTATGGAGATAAGGAAGATAATTTGATGGTACATGGAGATTCATAGAGTTTTGTTGAATGTAGTGAAGACTTTACCTGTTGTTTGAAGACTTAGATACTCATCACAAAGGGGGATATTATAGAGTCAAAAGATGTTGTGATGATATCAAAGTTTTGAAGTTTTCATATTGTAGTATTCGAAGTATTACATAGTTCTATTTATCAAAGGTTATGCACCTTCAACATATCTATGTATTTTAG